GGGCAGAGCCGGACTATCGGAAGGGGGGGCTATGAGGGGCCTGGGGTGGCTTCCCCCCCACCCCACCCCAGACCCTTCATAGCCCCCACTTCTGATAGTCCGGCATATCTGATAATCCGGCACCCCCTGGGTCCTAAAGGTGCCGGATTATCGGAAGTTTACTGTAAGTCCATCTCAAAAGTTCTGTGCTGTAATACTGATATATCCTTTCCATCATGAATTTTTCCTCATTTACTGAGTACTTCCTCAAAATCCATGGCACTTACGTAATAGACTGGTCTATGGTTTATTCCTTTTATAAAAGGAACCCTCCCCCCCCAAATAATGTGACTGTAGAATTTTATTAAAACAATTAATATTCCAACATACCTTTCCTTCATCCATTGGATTGTCACTAATATGGACAACAGGTCCTGGGTGAGATTTGGATGACCTAAAGAGGGAAAACATTTCCACTTTAAATTAAAGAAGCACTTTTCCTCCAGAATATATTAGAAATAGCTCCTATTGAGGTATGATTTTAAATAAATAAAATTATTTTTATTGTCAGTGAACACCAAGAAATAAAGACAATGGCACATGCACAGATCAATTGAAAGAAGATAACCTTGAGATAGTAGCTAATCAGAAATACACTGATTACTTTAACAAAGCACATCTTAAATGAGTCATAGCTTCCAAGGCCATTAGGGATCATTGTAATCATCTACTCTGACTACCTGTATTACACAGACCATAAAACTTACCCAAAATAATCCCTAGAGCATACCTTTCAGAAAAACATCCTGTTTTGATTTTAAAATAGTCTGTGATGGAGACTCCATTAATCATCATTACTATTCACTTTCCAGACATTGGATCATGTTATACCGCTCTCCTCTAGATTGAGAAGTCCATTATTAAATATTTGTTCCTATGTAGATACTTATACTAGTCAAGTCATCCTTTTACTTTCTCTTTGTTAAACTAAATAGGTTGAGCTCCTAGATTCCATTCCAATAAACTCTGTTTTCCTAAACTTTTAATTGTTTGTGTTTATTTTCTCTGAGCCCCTTCCAATTGAAAATATCCTTCTTTAATTCTGGGCACAAGAACTACTCCACTAGTGGTTGATGTCAGTGCAAAATACACATGTAAAACCACCTCTACTCCTATTTAATGTTCCCCTGTTTATGCAACATCATAGCTCTTTTGGCCACAGTGTCATAATGAGGGCTCATGTTCAGCTGATTATAAACCATGACTCTCAAATCTTTTTCAGAGTCACTGCTTTCCAGGATAGATTCTCTACATTCTTTGTTCCTACATGTATATATGTACATTTAGCCATATTAAAAATTTATATTGTTTGCTTGTATCCAGTTTACCAAATAATCCACAATCATCTAAATCAGTAATCTATCCTCTTCATCAATTACCATAACCTCAATTTGTATGTCAACTGCAACCTCTACCCCGATGATTTTATGTTGTCTTCCAGGTCACTGTTAAAAACATTGTGAACAGCTAAACAATACAATTGCTATAACTACAGTGAATCTAATATTATGGTACATTTATTTTATTTAACTGTATTTTGATTTTTAATTGAGAAGTAGTGATATAGCAGCCTTTATTGTTTTATTCCATAGCAAAAAGTAACCATAAATATTGGCCATTCAGTAGATGTAAAACAATGTGCAAAAGTATAAAATACCACTAATTTATTAGGTGCTAACACACAAAGGGATGAAGAAAGTAGGACTCTACATCCTCACAAATCATTAGCCACATATTTTGAGGATAACAATGTGCATATTACTAATGAAACTTTGACACATTGTATACCTTTGTGAGAGACAGGATATTGAATGCTCCATTTGTAATCCATCAATTAATTCATCACATAAGAAAATTTTGAAAATCATTTACAAATGTGAATTGTTCTGCAAAATGCTTGTTAGCTAGTAATACACTATTTCTGAACTTCTTTTCCATTTCTGCCATTACGCTACCATTATCTGTTCCTTTAGGATTTACCAAAAGTATCAGGATAATTTATCACAGAATTTCAGATAAGTATCAGATATGATACTCCTAGCTATAATTAGTATGTACAATTGTTAGCTCAGTAATAAAATAAATATTCCAGGATCAATAAAACTTAATTTACATTTTACATACTTAATTTATTCTGA